CATTGGTGAATGCCACAAATTCTCCTAAATCACTCGTACGCACAACTTAAGAACAAATCTGTGCGTACGAACGGTTCTTGCATGAGGCCCATTAAACATAAAAAATTCAATCATAAATAAGTTGCTGCTTTAAAAGGGATTCACCACGAGCCGACCTGAAGACTGAACTTTCAAATTAGAAAGACTTTACTGAAGATTATCTTTTGTGAAAAAAAAAAAAACCTTCATGTCACAGCAGGTAATGAACAACCATTTTATTACCACAGCCTGGAGATTTAGGAAAAGATGAAGTTCTATCCATCCATCCATTATCGATACCCGCCTATTCCTTTCAGGGTCACAGGGGTCTCTGGTGCCCATATCCAGCAGTCACAGTGCGAGGGGCGGGGTACACCCTGGACAGGTCACAAGTCCATCACAGGAACACGCATAGAGACAAATGAGACAAACAACCATTCACTCTCTCACTCACATCTAGGGACAATTTAGAGTTATCAATTAACCTAACAGTCATGTTTTTGGTGTGTGGGAGGAAGCTGGAGTACCCAGAGAGAACCCACGCATGCACGGAGAGAACATGCAAACTCTACCCAGAAAGGTCCCCGGGCCGGGATTTGAACCGGTGACCTTCTTGCTGAGAGGCATCAGCTCTACCAACTGTGACCCACTGTGCTGCACAAAGATTAAGTTGATTTTACCAATTATTTTGAACATTTTATTACCTTGTTGATCTGTTAATTTAACGCTTGGCTTTAACCCGCAACAGCAATAACTAATAAATGCAAGCAGGAAGAAAATTCTAGAACAAAATGTGGACATTCAGATTTTTGGGTCACCTTTATTGTAACATCTTTATGAGTGTTAAAAGTTAACTTGCCTGAGTTTTAAAATCACATCAAAAGGGTTCTTTTGCTTGTACTTAGCCTAATTGTGTTAAAACGATGACCTAGGGGTCTAGATCCAGACCACTAAAACCAAATCCAGTCAGTAACAAGACCCTTTGTCACTAAAAGGAGAAGATTGCAGTTAACGAGTGTATGAGAGGTGATCTACCACAGGCTGCTTGGATGGACCAACTTATTGAATGAAACAGGGCGTGGCTCTTGGAAGAATGCAGTTAGGTTTTGGATGAATTCTCCTCACAACCAGCTTTAACTGACTTTTCAGATCTTTCAGTGTTTGTGGGAGCCCGGACCCTTTTAGATGGAGAGCTGGTATATGGGTATTCCTGAGCTTATGGAGACAGGTAAAGGGATTTTTGTTGAGACACAAACACAGGCTAAGCATTGCAATCATCAAGACAATGACTAAAACACCATAATTTAATGACTGAACAGGTAATATTTAAAAACATAGGCATCGATCAAAAGTCTCATTAACACTATCTGTCAGGGTTAAAATGAAGAATCTTGAGAGTCGCAGCAGTTTTAGATCTGATCTGTCTGTAAGGAGTTCCACGTCGGAGTGGGGGGGGGGGGGGGGCAAAGCTGAACGATATTTTCACTATTTCAGTTCTGAAAAATGAACTGACAGGAGGATAACATTGTTTGTAGGAAAGTGCTTAAACAAGATAGAACTGAGTCCAGGAAGGCCTTGTAGATTACAGCTATCCAGTGTGTGTACTGTTCTTTACTTTTAGTAGCACTTCAAATTGAAGAAAAAGAGCCAAGCAACCACTCAAAACTATTCAAGCCAAACTCTAAGGTCAGGATATGCCACTTTCTGATCCTACCCTCCATCACATTTTGCGTTGTAAGGGGCTCTATTTGAACCCAGAGAACTCCATTACTGACAGAAAAACACACACACACAAATCCCAGACAGAATTTCAGGAATTTGTCCAAATTCCCACAACAGCACCTTTTTGGCCTCAGTTTCATCAAATGTGCTTTTTATGGAAAGGTACCAACAAATACTCCTTATGTGTCATGTCAATCAATAATCTCCTAAAATCAACTGATGAATTTAAGAAAAAGGTTATTAATTAATTGAATTTAATGTTTTTCATTCAAACCAACTCACAGCCTGACTTCAGCATGTCCTTACTATCGGATAGTCACTTGTGTAAATTATAAAAGGTCTTTTTTTATTCAAATAGTTCACACAAAATTTGAAACAACTTTTCTGAACAAATATCAAGAGGTTCCATCCCAGCAAACACCTGAATGTGGGCCCCACATGGGATTTACTTGGGCTATGGGGGTTCCAAGTGGGCATGGGCTTACAATGGGCTTCCTATCTGAGACCCACATGGTTGAGCCGAGTAGGTCCCACATGGGCTAGCCCAGATGGGCTATGGTCTGTGGGCACCATATGGGTAACAAATGGGAGAGGGTTATGGGCAACTGATCAGATAACTGTATATTTAATACCAGTATAAGTATGTAATAATATAAATATGAATGTAAAATAACTGATAATAAA